AAGCCTGCATTTGATTGAGTCTCAGAGGACTCATGAATGTACATAAGCAATTACAGAGCTTACGCCTATTTGCAAAGATACCCACTTGGGTTTTAGAGTGGTTGAAAGTCCTTGTTTCTCTTGTATAAATTTCCTCAGAGCTGCCGTGGGCCTGCCTGCCAACATCTCCTCGGATCAGGAAGAGATGGAGGAAGGTGGCCCCAACCCTTAGGTGCTGCAAGAAGACCCACCAGACAAGGTGGAAACTCCATCAGGTGCAGATGGGGAGTCTACGCCTGCAGTCAGTGTGTCACGCTCTCAGTCCTGCAGCCCAGGATAGGTAGCTGAAGCAGAGGCTCTGCAGCCACCAGTCTCACCCCCAGGATCTAGCCAGTTTGGTGTCGTGGTTAAGTGCGCGGACTCTAATCTGGGAGAACCGGGTTTGATTCCCCACTCCTCCACTCACAGCTGCTGGATGATCTTGGGCAAGCCATAGTTCTGTCAGAGGTGTTCTTGAAAAGAGCAGTTTCTGTCAGAGCTCTCTCAGCCCCACCTCCCTCACAGGGTGTCTGTTGTGGGGAGGGGAAGGGAAAGGAGTTTGTAAGCCACTCTGAGACTCCCTTGGGTAGTGAAGGGAGGGGTATAAATCCAATCTCCGCCTCCTCTTCCCCATCTACAGAGCCCTTGGAATGCCAGAGAAGGTGGGCCAGGAGGAAGGCACAGGAGCAGGGCAGTAGTGCATGGTTGGCAGCCCAGAACTGGGTAACCTCCGCTTGCAAGCTGGAGTCATTGCAGGATCAGGGCTGACTGCCCTGTTGGTGCTCAACTTTTGAGGGCTTGCACCTGTCCCTGGATGACTCATTTGGTTGAGGAGTTGCACCTGACCTGGAATGACTCCTGATAAAAGCAGCCAGAAAAGGCAGAACCAGTGTGGAAGTAATGTGTGCACAACCCTTGTGCACGGCAGACTTCTGTGTGAGTTGACCTTCTGGACTGTGACCTGACTTGTGCTCTTTGGATTTGTCCTTCTGGTTTGATGCCTGGACTCTTGGATATCTATTCTTTGACCCCACAATGTGTTTGGACTACGCCTCTTACCTCAGGTGCCTACCAGGACACCAGCCTCAAGCAGCTGACACTCTGACCGACTCTCTCTTACACAGACATACTTGCACAAAGAAAGCATAAGCACTTTCATCATATGATGTGATGCAACATACCTGTGAGCCATGCAGTTTACTACACAGAAGTCACTTCTGTGTGAAACACCCTTCCACCTAATGGAATTTGGAATCTGAAGCTTTTCAGCCAATCACCCCTTAGTCACAAGAATTGTAGCTTTCACTAGACTATCTTTCAAATGGATGGCTGATTTGAGATACTGACACCATTCAACCCTTGTCTGACATTATGTTCCTTATTACAAATGGGCAATACTCATTATTTTTTCCCTATATTGCCTACAGTGGAGTTCAAAGGGAGCTGGAGAATGCTATGGCTCCATGTCAAATGAACAATGAAGAGGGAGCTTTGGCCAACCTGCTTTCACTACTTAAATTCAATAGGGAAAGCAAAATAGAAAAGAGGAACAGAAACTAAAAGTGATGCCATGCCAGCAGTGGGCTTGTGACAATGGATAATAAAAAATATCTTGATATTCAAATATTACAGCTACATAATGTGACAAGCAACCTCTTCTCCCAGCACCATAGTCCTGGTCCTTCAAAAATACATTCTTCCCATACAAAGCACCATACTACTTTAGGACAATCTTCCTGTTTTACATCTTTAGTAACATGCTGCAGACATTATACTTGTTTTCCAAAACAACTGCAGCAGAACAAATGCAAAATATAGGTGTATGCCGCAGGGAACTTGCAACCAGCTGTGGTTCATTATGGAATTTGCCTGTATGGGAACACGTTTTCCCAGCACAATAGACAAAATGGACTTGAAGTAAATGAAGTTATCCTATCTTTTCCACAACCATATGTTCTTTGAAAAACATTTTGATCTAGAAAATACACATACCTCCGCTCCATCTAAAATGTTCCTTCCACTCATTGCTTGCAAAAGCTCTTCATATTTCAAGTAACTTCTGAGTCTTCCTTCTCTCATTTTAACATCCAGAAGTTGAAGATGCGCCCATGGTTCCAGTTGTATATATTACGATAGGCAAACTCCCCTTTGTTTTGAACTTACAAGCTTTCTTGACAAGCATTAGAAGAAATGTGTTTCCTCAGCTTCCTCCTGGCTCATAACTTTGGCAACTACATGCACTACATGTAGTTAACAACGGCCAATAAGAGATTTATTGTTCTATTTTGATTACTGTTAAACTACGCTGAACATTTTGAAGAGAAGGATAAAACTAGTATATAAAATAAATACATTAGTAAACTGTGCCATACAAACATGACTAACACATTTGGATGGTTGCAAACACTAATGGTTTTACCACTTCCAAAAAACTGTCTTCTGTATATGCCTGGGTTCAACAGGAAAAGAAATGTTCCACTGACCCATAACTATTGCAGGTCTATTCCAAATGAGGAGGGGAGAGACTTCCGAGTGCTACTTGTTTATTCAATCAACTACTCCACCCTGGGCAGTAATATTTTTGAAGTATTTATATGCCCCCTTTCTGCCCAACAGGCCTCCAAAGCACCTCAAAACAAAAATAAAAAGGACATACTATATTTATTGTATTTCTTAAAGGAGTTGTAAAAGAGGAAGGCTTGGGAGTTGATGTATATTGTTGTCTCCCCAGCTGCTGCTCTTTAAAATTTCTGCTATAGCAAATAGGTCCCACTCCTACCCACCAAAGTATGCTGCCACGCAACAAGAGCCAGGTAGCACCAAATGCTTTTATCCCTAAGGGGTAAGGTTTTTCTTCACCTACACAGCTGGAGAATCTGCAGCTCTGGGGTCTTTCTGGCAACAGTTAAAAGTAATGGAGGAAAGGGATGGGAAGTGATGTGAACTGTCCTCTTCTCAGTCCTCAGATGTTGCTATTAGACATAACCTGAGATGCTTTTTAGCTACAGATAAGAACATAAGAGACGCCAATGTTGGATCAGGCCAAAGACCCATCCAGTCCAACACTCTGTGTCACACAGTGGCCAGAAATACCAGTGCCATCCTTGTTGGGCCAGGCCATGCGTGCCTAGAAAGCTAACTTTCAAAGTGTGGATCCAGATTCCTTTACTACATCAAATGTAATATTAATATATTTAAAGCCTATGACCTCACAATGTTAGGACACCGGTAGCTACTCTCAGACCCATAGGATCTGTTCTCTGTTATAATTAAAGTTTACTTAAGCTGGAGGCTGCATCAAGCAATACACTGAAGAAAGACCATCATAGCTGTTCTTGCACGAGCTATCATCATACCTCAAGGCAGTGAAGCTACTGGCTGAGATATTTCCCAGGAAACCACCAAACTGTTAAAAATTAATGATGACTATACAGAAAAATGCTTACCAGCTTTTGAACTGCATGTTCATTCATTCATAGCTTGGCCCACATGGGATGTATACATTGGTATACAAGCCAATCAAGGGTAATTGCTTGTATTTAATACCGTTTATTTTTGTTTGCAGCAACCTTACATACTTTTAAAATTAATTAACTCATATTCTCTGAATTTTACAAAAGCTTATACCAGTAATATGAAAACTGTGTTTTATATTCCCCTGCCAGGTAACTTTCTGCATAAGCCAATCAAGGTTTCATCTGTACTGTCAGAAGTCTGCTTTTCATAAGGAGAAAACTCAGTGCGGCAGGTCAGGCAGCCTAGGACAATACACCATACAAGAATGACTCTATTTTCTAATAATAGAGACCTTTTCTACCTGAGCTTCCCTGCAAAGATAGTTGTAGCTGCTTTAACCACAGGCAGCGCTCGGTCAAGTTACTCTCCTGTTCTGGTAGGCTCTTTGAATCAATGCTTCCTCAAAAGGTTTCCAGCTAGCTGCTTGGTTTTACATTTCCCCCCCCCCCCCCGGGGCGCCCCCCGCCGTCCTACACTTGGGGAAGGCATAACCCTACACTTCAGAAGGGCTACAGGATCAGGTACTTCCCTGGGCTCTCGTGGATATGCCCTAGCCATTCCTTTGTCAGCTACTTTCTCAGACTACTGCAATACAAATTCTCGCAACCCATATGCAAGCTTCATCCTAGACACTACACTAACCCAAACAAGAAGGCCTTTTCTTACCTCTTGACACCTGTCGCGTTTGAAGTCACCCCCTGGCTCTAAATGTCCCGTAGCCGTGGTGAGACTCTTACGGACTCAGAAACAGACACCTCAGAAATGGAACGTGCTGGGTGTTTGCGCCACACGTCAGCTACCGTTCCCCAGCAAAATCGTCTCTCGCACACCTTCTCTCTCTGGGTCGCCACGATTTGCCAGATTCCTCCCCGGTGTTTCTGTTTCTTTCTTTTATTGCAGAGTTACATTCATCACCCTTCCCCACGTGCTCCCCATCAGCCTCGTTCCCCAATCTGCTCCCCTCGTCCCACGTGTGTTCCCACTCTCAGCGTTTCACCCTTAGTGTTCCCGTCTCCGCTGACTCCTGGAGCCTCAAGTTGCGGGGAAGTATCTACCCGCCCGGCACCTCCCGCGGTAGCACCCATATTGACGGGTAAGATTCCTCGGTCTCTCGCCCGAGCGCGTCCCTTCCTGCCTGGCAGGGGTTTCCGACCATGGTCTTCCCGGTCCCCAAATATGCCTCCCGAACCCCGTCCCTCGTTGTGCAGCTTCAAAGAACTTCACCCCTTCAACTCTTCACAAACCTCACTGACAAAACTACAGGCCAATAAAAGTCCTTCAGTAGTCAATGGAAAAGACAGAAGACTGCCTTCTTCTGCCTCTTTAACCACATGATGTCATGCTACTCTTTTGTCCTCTTGTCAGACAGCAGGGAATGGAAGAGATGTGGGGGGAAAGTTCCTGCCTGCTTGTCTATGCCCTGGGGAACAACCACCAAGAATTTCTGCATACTTGCCACACTATCACTAGAGCTCAGAACCAGGGGAGAAGACATAGGTAGTAGACCACTGGAAGATGTATATGGACTTGTAGAGGAGAAGGAAACAACAGATGTTCATGCACATCAGTTTCCCAGGGTACAACTTCTCTGTTACCCTGTGTTTGATCTTTACACAGCCAGTACCATTAAGAGCAAGCAGTGATCCAATCTGAAATATAAACAAGGAAGACCTCAACTTGAGGGACCAAAAAAATCCTTCTGATATCTGGCTTCCTTCATTTATTCTTCCTGAAGCTCCTGGACATCTGCTACTGGATAGATCTGCTTCAGAATATGGAAGAGTTGCATGGTTGCCATATACTGTTTAATAATATAAGGTGTGTTGTTTTTAAAAAAAATTACATCCTGATTTGGAAATCAGAGGAGTCATTAAGAAGGCACTGCCACTACCTCCTGCCCCCAAATTAAGGAGCTGGGTTTGCAAGAAGGAAGGAGCCTGTACCTTGCACTGCACATTTGTTCACTGGGTACAAAACAAAAGCATTACCAGGACACACAATGAAAGTAAAAAATGATTCGCCCTGGCCATGAAGATTCAAGACTGTGAGGTCTACTTACCAGCCAAGGGAGAAGAAAGTCTGCAAAGTATACAAATGCCGCTCCCAAAGTGAAGCCAGCTACTACAGGGAAGAATGCAAAGGCCCCAAACTTCCCAGAGTCTTCAGCCAATTCGATGGCAGGTGCAAGAAGGGACCAGTAAGAAGCAGCCAGCATGACCTAAACAAAACAGATGAAGAGTTAATGCCACTTCAGTTGCAATGTGGTGGCCCTCGACTGTTAAAGAGAGACAGTATGGTGTCATGATTAGAGCAGAGGTGTCGCACACATTTGATATAAGGGCTGGATCTGACATAAATGTCACCTTGTTGGGCCAGGCCATGCGTGCCATAAAATGAAATGCCTGGTACCGGAGAGGCAAACTTTATAAAGGACACATGCAAACCCAATAAACGATATTAATTTTTGCTCAAAATACAAACGTGCTTAAAACATTAACATTCTTACATTTCCTTAAAGTATCTCCCTGATGCCTACCCTCCCACTTCCACTTCCCATTACTCATTAGCACTGGGACAGTATAAAGGGCACAATGCACAGTCGTCTGGCTATAAAGGTAATGACCAGTTGCTCATGAGCCAGATAACAGCCCTAACAGACAGACAGACAGAGACAATGAGCCAAGAACCTTAACCTCTGTAGAAAAGACACAGAAACTGGGGCTGATTTCGCACTAGAGCTGCCTTGATGTTGCACCACCGTTTGCCCCGATACTATTAGTCAATTTCACACCCGAAGCTGTGGGGCTGCATTTTGACTCGCAGCTTCGCCTAATTTCCCTCGCAGTTTTGTGATCCTGTTTTTTGAGGATCATGAAACTGTGGAGGAAATTGGGCGAAGCCGCGGGTCAAATGCAGCCCCGCAGCTTCGGGTATGAAATTGACCAATAGTATCGGGGCAAATGGCGGCGCAACATCGAGGCAGCTCTAGTGCGAAATCAGCCTATGACAACCTCGCCCACTTCTATCCCTCAGAGGCAAGGGTCGAGATTCCCCTTTAACTTAAAACACTGAAATGGTACTCGAGACTTTTTTAAAGTTCAAAAATAACAAAATATTTTATTCAACATAGAGGGGGAAAGCCAGGTGAAGTCAGGGGTAACATTTCTGAGGTAAATCAATATAGGCACAGACTATAGTTCATATGTTTCACGCAATTGAGAGTTTCTTAAGCTTTTCATAGTGACTTAGAATCTTTAAAATGAGAGGCTTTTGTTTCAGTGTTTCCTAAACACTTCAGTATACTTACTTCAATGTATTTGACTCTTTTGGTTTCCAGAAGGCAGGGATACTCTGTCCAGTACCCAAACTCCTTAAATGAACACCAGTACTTTTCTTGAGTTTTAACTGACTCCTCAGGATTTAAAAGTCAGTTTCTAAACACACCAGACCACGAATCTCTCCACTCTTCAGAGCCATCTCCCTGTTTTAACTGAGTAGGGAAATTCTTCTCTCAATAGAAGATGATCTATTCCATTTTCTTGGCCTGAATGGGAGTCTTCACCTAACTACTCACTCCTTGGGTCAACCTTCCCAGTACTCCATCTGTGTTAAACTGCTCTCAGTTAGGGCTAAGCACAAACCTTGTCAGTACTAAACTCTTCTCTGTCAGTATTAGACTCTTCTCGGTCAGGGCTGAATTCAGACTTCCCTCTTCTCAGCATTCAGCTCTCAAGTTTCTCTGTTCAACTGATGCTGACCAATCAAATTCCTTGGAGCAGCCTATCACGCAAGGCTCTCTGGCTCTGTGAGGAATTAACCCTTCACAGTCCATTACCTGTTTACACAGAACTTCTGGGATTTTAAAAGTTCAGTCCATCACAGGAACACAGAACCAGTTAATACCAAGCTCTGTATGACCATACTGGAGAATCCAATCTTAATTTAGTAGTTATTTTTACCCCACTTTCCTTTCAAGAAGCTTAGGGCAGCCCACTTGGTATCTTCCCCATCCTAAAATTTTAGCTGTACACCAGCCCTGTAAAGCAGCTTTGGCTGAACAACAGTGACTGGATGTTAACAGTGCAATTCTATGTTGAGTTACTTCAGTTGAAGCCCACTGAAATGAATGGGTTTAGATTGGACTAACTCTGCACAGAACTGCACTATAAGTCACTCAGTGAGCTTCATGGCCAAGTGGGGATTTGAGCCCTGGTCTCTCAAAGACTGATTACTCACAATACTAGCTGTACATGGACTCTGTCTTTGTAAAGAGTTTCTCCATTTTGCAGTTCTCTACTGGGACCCTAGGTACTGAATGAAAAAAATTCTGGATAGAAATCTGTGTCCCGTACCCCCCCCCCCATTTATGTTTGCTCAACCACAAGATTTTACTTTAATGCACAAGAACAATGTTTTGTGGGTTCAGAAGCAAAGCTCAATCCCTCCCCAATCTGCAGCCAAACTACTGGAGAGGAGATGTTTTCCCCTGTATCAAGCTTCAGAAGCTTGAACCACATGGAGTTGGTTTCTCATTATTTGACATATGGATAACCACAGATCGAAATGCTCTTCACTCAGCCTAGAGCTTTACTTGCAGAATTTCAACCTTGTCCGAACTAGCGACACAGCTGAACCTTGGGGGGGGGGGACCAAATGCAGGTAATAGAAAGGTACTGTAAAAGCAAACCCAGCTATCCTAAATCCCTGTTCAATGCCATATTTTCTGAATAACACCGTTTGCACTGAGGTTTTGACTGTATTCTCCTTCTCACTGTTAGAAAATGTACCATCTTAAAAAGCAACAAAACACCCTATTCCCAAAATTCCCAAGACACCCTTTCTCTGTCTTACTGTAAAATCAACATACAAAACACAGCATCACTTCAGATTCAGCACAGATTTTGTGTCATATAGTCTGTGAGGCTCGCTTTTTAACCAGTGATACCTTATGAAAATAGGCTTTTCCGAGGGGATTTGGTGGCCCAGGCAATCTAGAGCTTCTAGAAATACAACTTCATGCGGTATGGGGGTGCAATGTAATGAGGCCATTTCAGTGTAGGATCCTGCATGAATCCGCTGGCAGCCGACCCAGTTTTGTTCACGTAGCCCAACTGCTGCCTTAATTACCTTATCAGTGACTCACAGCATAGAGCCTCTGAAGAGGATGAAGAGTTTTCCCTGAGCAGAGCAGGAGCCTCCCACCCACCCCCTCAAAAAAAACACAAACTTGCTGTAAAGGCGGTTGGAGCTGAAAAAGAAACCAAAGGGTGCCAACTCCATTTTCCAATACAGAGCAGGATAAGGGGCGGGGGAGGGAGAAGAGGAGAGAAATGTCTGAGGGGCAGCTGGATTTATCTGATGCAGTGGTTCGTTCCCAACCTTTTTTGGTATGGTAACCCACAAGTCCAAATTTACTTCATATGGTGACCCATCCAGAGCTGGCACAAGGTTTATCGGTGCCCTAGGCAGGTTATGACCTTCCATTCCATTTTCTATAGTGACCAACCAGATGTTTTTGAGAAGCCAACAAACATCATACAAAGGCTGCAGCTGCCCTCCACTATAAATCCCAAGCAAGTGGAAGTTCAACTCCTACTCCTCCTCTGCCACCTGGGCCAGAGCTGGAGTCTGAGGAGGCACACTTTCGGAGCACTGGGTTGAGGAGATATGCAAAGATGGCACATGACAGTGAAGAGGCTGGCAGCAAGGGGCTTGGTGCAGTACATCAGTCACAGCAGGTAGAGGACAGCACCAAGACAACTTGCCTGTTTCTGTCCTCTCCTGGATTTTCCATGGCAGGCTTAAAAGTTTTCCCCTACACTCTCTACCCACACCCCGCCCTTTCTTTCAGCTACAACCATTAAGTTACAAGCCAGATGGCTCCCCCCCCCCATTACTGTTGCAAAGAGGGAGAGGGAGACAAGAATATGAGAAGTTGGCAAGGAGTAGAAGGAAGAAGAAGAGATTGGATTTATACCTCAGTTGGCGTCTCAGAGCGGCTTACAATCTCCTTCCCTTCCTCTCCCCATAACAGACACCCTGTGAGGTAGGTGGAGCTGAGAGAGCTCTGAGAGAACTGCTCCAAGGTCACCCAGCTGACTGCATGTAGAGGAGTGGAGAATCAAACCTGGTACTCCAGATTAGAGTCCACCGCTCTTAACCACTACACCAAACTGGAGAGAAACAGAAGGATGCAAAGGGCAGAAGCCACCATTAGAGAAGGCTGGTCTATGACCCCTTTCAGAGGCTCATGGCCAATGCTCCCTCTAAGCTGTGGAGTCCTGAGAGCAAAAATTCTACTTTGTGAGTTATGAGCATTAAAGTTGTGAGCAGGTGATTTGGCTACTGCATAAATTAGTTTGCTCTGGAGCCATCCTTCTTGAGCTAAGACAAAAATGTCTGAGCTGGAGGCTGAAAAAAAATGAGCTAGCTCACACTAACTCAGCTTAAAGGGAACACTGCTCATGACCAGTGTTCCCTCAAGCTGAGTTAGAGTGAGCTAGCTCACAGGTTTTTATCCTCCGGCTCACACATTTTTGCCTCCGCTCAGGAAGGAGGGCTCCAGAGCAAACTAATTAATGCAGGAGCCCAATCGCTCGCTCACAACTTTAATGCCAGTCGTTCACAAAGTAGAATTTTTGCTTACAAGACTCCACAGCTTAGAGGGAACATTGCTCATGACCTTCTTTTGGGTTCTGAATCACAGAGAGACTGCTGTGGCTCATCAGGGCTAACAGTTTAACTGCGACAGACACTTTCATAGACAACAGCCCACTTAGCCCACAAAAGCTTATGCATACGACATCTATAAGTCTTTTTAGTAACCAAAGACATTTTTTTGTTACAGGGTAAGAGCAATTTTACTTTTACTCCCTTTGGTTTTCATCAGGATTTTGCTTCCTTTAAGACTGCCTCAGCCTCTGATGGGAAAAATAGGGCGTGCTCATCTCTCCTTATATATAATTCTCTTTTGGTGTGACTCTTTTCTGATCGTTCCACACACTCCCACAGCCTTTAACTCCCTGACCTGTCACTCAGAAGCTGTCCCTATCTACTCACTGCGTTGCCTGAGTCTCACCTCCAATATTCTAAACAGTTTGCTGTTCCTCTCCCCGCAATAGCCAGTCGGAACACAGAGGTCATTTACATATGTGGCCTGATTGGCCTTTGCCTCTAACATTCTAAACAGTTTGCTGTTGCAAGTCACTGAATGTGTCC